TTAAGAGTGTATTTAGAATGAAGCATAATTAATAAAAAAAATGTATTTAGATAATATAATAGAACCTCTCTAAGTTAGACACTAGTAATTTCATATAAATGTGTCCAATTTAGAGAAGTTTCCCGGATAGAGGGGATGAAGAAACTGTATATAAATGCCCTGCTGTACCAATTAAAAATGTCCAATTTAGAAGAACGTCAAGGATATAAAGACGTCCAAATTAAGAAGTTTTACTGTGCTAGTAAATTTTCACTATAAACTGACTTAAAACTAACAAAATAATATTCCGATTTAAGAGATTTCTTTAATATAAATCGTTCGGAAATATTGAAAAAAAAAAAAAAGTTTCTCTTACTTAAAAATATTATACAGTTTTTATTGAATAATACGGAATTTAGAATGGAAAATAAGTGTTTTATTTAAGGGTTAGTCGTATCTGATTTTTATATAGTAAAATATCTATTCGAGCTTAAAAACGTAGTTACAGTTGGTGTGATGTATTCTACTCTTCAACCTCTTTTATCTTTCGGAAACATTAAATTTGAAAGTATAAAACGAAAGAAGCGCCTAAGTTTTCAAAAACTGGACAAGGATTTCGTTCTTTATGATACCAGGAAAGAAAAATCTGGTCCATTATATAAAAACTATTTTGACATTGAAATGTGGCTGTCCATTTATCAAATGATGGCTGTAAATTATATTTTCAAACGAGATCAAACCAATGGTTCTGTAGAAAATTTTAAAATTCAATGTATAATTTAAGAAAAAAAAAAGGGATGGAAAGAAAGAAAAAGAATTAAAATGGCAAAAAACATTAGGAAGATTACAAAAACGTTACATCCAAATAACGTTAGAAACTCGCTACGTTTAAACGAATTTAGTGCTCATACTGTATATATTGTATGCATAATTATTATAATAAAAAAAAATTAATTTTTAGTAATTAAAAATAATCTACGTTATAATTAATTTATAAAGTTTACGTAATTAAAAACAATTTATTACGTGTAAGTGACTCGTTGTACTACATCGTAATATAGGGGGAAGAAAAAATTAATTTTTCTGTTTTATCGCTTTATTTATTTAATTTTTTTTTTTTTTTAATTTTTAGAACGAGTTCGGTGACTTATCTTCACAATTTTCTAATATAGAGAGAGAAAGGTTGACTTGATTGGAAGCTTTCCAGAAACTGAAAAGAAAGATGCTTCATTTTGGCATCCCTTCTCCTATTGTTAAATGATGGTTTCCGTGGTAACAAATATACTTAAGTTTCCTTCGAATCAAATCAATCTTCTGAAGTTTATAGAAGAATATTTTAAATTAAGAAAAGAGAAAAAATATACGTATATATATATATATATATATATTTGATGACAAATGTATTAAAATGTATTAAATGGAAAATCAGCATTGGAAGGATATACGATTATCCTAATGGATTACTGAACGTCATNTTTTTTTTCGTCTAGAAATGGAAATTACGATAGAATTTTAATAAATTTTAAGTAACTCCTGAATATTTTCTTCTCTGTAAAAGCAGAGATTTACTGGGAAGAAGATATTCAGCAGTTATTTAAAGAAATTTTCAAGTCTAAGAGAGAGAGAATTCTTCTAACAACAGAAGCACAAGGTTAGTAGAATAAGAATGTTCTTTCTTGAGAATTCTTATAATGAATTTCTATGTCCTTTTTGTTTTTTTGGCACTAATACTGTTGGTAATTGTAAAGTATCCTAGTCAGCACGAGTTATAAATGTCACTTAAAGTGTTAAAATTGTTTAAAACGTTTTAATGTATGAATAAATTGTAAAATAAAATACTTCTTATATTATAAAATGCATTAACTGATTCGAAAACCTTATCTTAAGATAATCAAATTTTATTTTTCCATAAAAAGTTTCACTGATTGGCTGTATCAAGAGATATATCAGTCATTCATCTGTTTGATAGTAATCGATGACAGGTTTTTATAACTCCACCCAATATCCCAAATTCTCTCTTCTTCTTCTAATAATAATAATAATAATAATAATAACATTTCTAGAATTAATATCAAGCATTTATATGCGGGATATACCGCATATTTTCGTAAAAATCAGTTACATATTCGCTCCAAAGATGGCGCCGTTATAAGTAATGATGTCGATTAATCAAAATCCTTCCCCCCTTTTTTTCTTTCTTATATCCTTGACAATTTCTCAATAAATTTTTCGATTATACGGATAATGTTTAGCAAATATTTTAATGAAAACTGACACGAAACTACCAACTATTAACTCACATTGTGATACATAAGGAGGTTGAAAAATAGTTTATCTTATCTGTCACTAACACTTGTACACTCGAACTTTTGCGTGATGCAGAAGAGAAAAGACAAGGTAAACTTGCTAGCCAAAAAGATTGAGTGACAGAATAGATTTGGGACAGGTGAGGAAAATAAAATAAGAAGAAGAAGAAGAAGAAAAAAAAAAAAAAAAAACATTATCGGTTCGAAAATTTGTTTGCGCTGAATTGATTCGTGTCACTAGCAGATGTTTAACCTATATAAAATGTTTTCCAAGTAAAGTTTTAAAGTAAACATAGGAGTTTTGCATTACAGGATTAATAATTTTTAACAAAAGAACAAAAATTTACATATATTCCCATTGTTCGAAGAGGTTAGAAATAGAAAGATTTTCCATTAGTTCGAGGAATGTTATCTGATCTTTAATAATGGAGAAAATTGAATAGAAAATTTTAAACAGAACAAATAATTTTAACGCTTATTTAAAAGGTTGGTTAGCGTGAGAAAAGATCTGAGCGTATATAATTCTTATATTGTGAATCAGAGTAAATAAGAGGAATAAAAAGAAAATAAAGAAAGAAAAAAAAGCGCCGAATTCGCATTCTACATCTCCAGGGTGTCGTTAGTAACGTATAAAGTCTATGGATGTCGCTTGGGGCGTCTTATTGTTGATGTAATAGGAAAATCGTTGGGGGGAGAGAGAAGAGAGCGAGAAAGAAGAAAAGCATCCACCAGTGAAAGTAGTGAGGTGCACAGCATCAATAACGTGACGCATCCCCAGATGAACTACTACAAAAATCCAACCAGAAACTCAGCAACTTGATGGATTTTGGATGTAAGTCATCCACCCGATCTTCCTCCTTCAAAGCTTCGTAGTTTGATGAATGTTTGTTGAGTGGCGAGTCCAGAAAGATGAGATGACCGTTGGTTACCTGCCTTCCCTTCCGACATGTTCCATTTAAAAAAAAAAAAAAACAAACAAAAAAACCTACCTTTCTCTTGAAATAGTTTACTTCCACTACATTTTTCATTGTTTTTAAATGGGAAAATTTATTTTCTTTCAGACGGAAGTTGGTATTCACTATTAAAAGATCGATAAAATATTTTAACTTTATATCAAAGCATAACGGAGTTAAAAATATTTGTTTATGATTATAGAAAATTGCGTAGGAATATTTATAGCCCGTATATATAGATTATATACACTCTAGAATGTTTACTGTATCTTATACATTACATTAAATTTATATACACATTCCACAAAAATATATTGAAGTATATACATGCAGCATAATCTTTATAAGCCATAAAGAATTTTTAAAATGATTTTTGTGTGAAATTTATTGTAAATTTTACTTTCCATTTTTTTTTCTCTTTCCTAAGAAAAAAAAAATGATACATTTATAATGTACTGTTATTTCCCTATTTTACTTCAATACGAAGCAATTTAATAACTTAAGATTATTTATAAAGTAAATTTATTTTTATTTATTAAAAACTTCTTTATATATTTTATTAATATTTATGAACGGTATTTTCTTATTTTTAAAATGAATAAACTTGTTTTGTATCATAAAATTTTAAACAAAGTTCGTAAACTTTGGAATTTTCAAAGTTTTATTACACTTCGAAAAGAATGAAAATATTCAGGAGGATAAAAATAAAAAGGGATTAAAGTAAAGGGGGGAAGGGAAAGTGTAAAAATAAGTTATAAAAAATGAATAAATATTCAATTGATCAAGATTTAAGAGAGAATTTCGTTATTAAATATTCAAAATAAGCTTTTTAGAACTTGTTTATATCTTTTATTGATTCTAAAATCATTATATGAAAGAAATTCGTATGATTTAAATACTATTTATGATTTTCTAATTCAAATAGTTCGAGAAATAATTTATTTATTTTTTTTATTTTTTATTCGTTTAGAAATGGAANAACGATAAAAATTTTAAAAATTAACCATATAAGGAGAATATTATATTTCAAATATTTCCTACAAGTTTTACTTAAATTAAAAATATGTGATATTAAATTCCTTTGTTGTAACAAATCTTTTTTTTTTTTTTTTCCTATTCTGTTTTTAAATCCATCCCCGAAGATAGTCATGTATGCAAATAGAGTAGTGTCAACTTAATATAAATTTATTTTATACAAGAAAAATTTTTATTAATTTTCCGCTAGACGTCTAAGAAAATCAACGTTAACATTGACATCCCGGCATCTCTCTCTTCTCTTGTTTAGTACAACTAAACAAATTAACGGTCGATAATTACCCTACCCTCTCGCATCTTACAAATGATAGTCCTCTTAATCACGTGACATTTCCAAAAATTTCCATCCCCCCAACCGAGAGTTGTGGAGGGGGGAGAGGTTGGAAGATCCGTGCAAGTTTTATTAAAAATATACACGGCTTCAAACTAAACTTTAACGTGTAATTTATAAAAAAAATATATAAAATTTACACTACAAAAAAAAAACAAACAAATTTATTAAGTTAAATTTTATAAAATGTGCTAATTATAAACGATTTTTAGCTTATTTTTACTCCATATAAACGTTTGGAAAAGGAATTTTCCAACAATTTCCAACGTTGTTTCTGCCCGGGAAGGAGAAGGGAAAGCAATTAAAAGTAGCGACACTAATACGTCACAACAGCGCCCTCTCTTTTGCCCTACCTGCGCCTCCTGGTGAGGATAGTTGGCACACGTGCACCAGACCTTCATTTAGACGGAAGTGACGACATCAGACCGTTTCTCCCTACCCAAAATTCTCAAATTCAAACATTAGTAGACAATGTTTAGAAAAGTTATTCTATGGTTATATACGAATATATATTATTATAAAGGATACGATACGGTGTGGTTAAAGTATATATAAAAAAATATGGTGGAAAATTGATGGAATTTTTGAAAATACGAATACAAAAAATTTAGGTAAGATCAATATAAATTTTCTTCTTCGATTAAATTAATTTAAATTATACTTAACATTTTTATTTTATTTTATTTTTTCTTAAATAAAGTTTTAAAATAGAAACAAATTAACTCTGAACTAAATTCTTGTCAATGTTTGTTTAGGCAGGGTTTATTTATAAAGTTTTTTTTTTTTTTAAAGGAAGCATCCCATCCAAGGTCACGTGTCTTGTTAATGAAACTACTTAAAACACTATAAAAAATGACCTGTTTATGAATTTTTAAATGGAATAAAAATTATATTTAACCTCTTAAAAATTGAACAGAAAATTAATTATTCGATAGATAAATTATTTAATATTGATTTTATTCACGAAACACTTCACTTTTATGTCGAAATTTTGACAATAGTTTTCAGTCCAGTGAAAACAAAATTCCTGGTTCAAGTAATCAAAAACCGGTTTTCGGACCTTATATGGACAAGACCTTATAAAGTAGAAGCTAAAGTATGATTTCAGCTCTATAATTATTACATTTATAAATAAATAAATAAATAAATATAATTTAAAAACTTAAAATATATNTAAGTGTTTTGCGATTTTATATATGAAAATAAAAAAGTAGCGTATTTTTAAGATTTGTAGCCTGAAGATAATTATCACTAGCCCAAAAAGTAGCGTATCGCCCAATTTGAAATTTTTGTAGCGAGGGCACTTAAAAAGTAGCCCAATCCGCTACTTGTAGCCCAATCTGGCATCACTGCCACCCACACTCATTCTAAGAAGTGAACTCTGACCTTAGGACTGAACACGTAGTTTCTTCTATATTAAATAAAATTTGTAATCTAATTTTATAAATTTAGGAGTGCTTCAAATATGACTAATTGAGGTACATTCACTCAGCATCTGTATGTAAATAAAAAACACAACACCTTAATTTGCTGAGAAAAATTTAATGAAAAGCAAACGTTTTCAGCCAAATCTGTTGGCCATCATTAGGCTGATATTCGAATATAAATAAAATAGAACAAAAATTTAAAAATACGAACAAAATAAAATAACGAATTTAATATATATATATATATATATAAATAAGGGAAGTTATATATAGGCTACATTTTAAAATTGATATTTAGTTTTGCCTGTCAAAAGATTTTATATATGATGTGTTTTGAGATATTTTAACCAGATGAGCTCTTATGTTGCGTTACTTACCGTTTATACCACACGTATGATTTCACGAAAGGTATGAACAGTCATTTAGCAACCGTCTCATTTCTCTTCTGTGCTTATTCCCAGTTGGACTAACTTTGTTTAGGATTGCATATGGTGTTGCTCCCACAGCAACTAATGCCAGATGCTATCTGTGCTTAGTTAAAGAGAAATACCAACTTTAAAAATAAATTTCTAAATAAATATGTTTAAATGAGAGAAAAATCTTACATAAAAAGTCCCTCTAAAAAAAAAAAATACCAGACTGTTAAAAACAATAAACTGGAAACGAGGGAGGGGAGGGGAGGGGAAGAAAAGATATAATAGATTGAGCGAATCAATACAGGACTATGTTATTATTTTACAGGCTTTTACCAGTTTCTACAAAAGGTATATCAACATTATACAGACGATCAAATTTCATTTGACCATCAGAGGAAAATATGTGAGTTGGAAAAGATCCAGAAATAACAGGGTTTCGTAGATAGTTCCCCCAAAACTAATGATCGAAGTAATGGCTAGTATCGAATGTCTAAGATCAGTAACTGGATACTTGATAGAAAGACAAACACTTAGCACTTCGGATATCGGAATCTGAAGCACATTGCTGATGATTGATGCCAAATTAGATTGTCAAGTTTTGTCTCTTAAAAGTGTTCTACGTGAATGATGACATGAATTATAAACGGTTCCGTTTAATAGAAGATAGAATAAATTTCTTCTTTTTTTTTCTATTATTATTTATTCTAGAAGGAAGAAGAATTATTCAAAATTTTAAAATAAATCGTTTATTTGGTTACTTTTTTATTTTATTCCATTCGTCTTCGAGCAATTCGAGTTAACCTAAATAACCAGCGTACTTTTTGTTGCTCGAGAAATAGAAAACGAATCAAAATTGAAAAAAATAGAATAAAAAAAAAAAAATAATAATAAAAGCAATTCGTAATAAGCTTATATAGAATTTACCTGGAAGAGAATAAGGCAATATCGAAATGATCATCGGGGTGTGGCGAAAATAGTCGAAAAGATGCTTGTAGCGTGCAATCTTATCTTTAGATGTAATTATAGATTGACATTGTGGCCTACACCCTTAAGATGTCACGTGGTTTGGTGGACATTTATCGTGTTAAAAATTCTTTTATATAGGTCAAAAACTTTCTTAAAAAGTCATATAACAGCTCACAGCAACAAACACGTAATTAATAGCAGATGTTATAAATGTTCTTTTTTTTATAAGGTTCTGCAGTTGTATTTAATATCTAGACTTAATTTTTGATAAAATTAAAAAAAAATTTCTTTCTTTTCTAGGTGAAAAATATAATTTATCAATTATTCTTAAGGTAAGCGAATTTTCTTACATTCTTCTTCCATTTATGGTTTTAAATTTATTCTTTTCCATTTATTTTTTTCTATAATATTTTCGAGTTAAAACCGATGCCGTTATACACATTACATGTTATTTATAAACAGTTTTCTCCATCGTAACACAAACATAACATCATACGAATGTAACGTTTTCGTGACTATTAATATTTCGCGTGACGACCTCTACTAGAGTTAAAGGTTTTCGGGTTATGCAATGACGTCACAGAACCCCCTAGTATAGCTTTTCGGATCGAAAAATTTTGAGGATTTTTCGGGTGTTTATAACCGAAAAATTTACTGCTGCTGTAAGTTGCAGCTAATAATATAACGGAGACGAGAATAGATTTCCTGGAACATCTTTTAAACGATGATATCCAGAACGAAGCGTTCAAATTTCATTGTTTGATTCTGACACACGCTTTATCATCACATATCGCAACAGGCAAGATATCCACAGGAATCTGCTAGCGACATGTAAATTATCCACAATTAAATTCGTTCATGGCTGATGTTAAATACAGTTGATGTGGCTGCGTCCAGAACAGCAGTAACTGTATAATTAATTTGCAACGTAGTCAATTAACAATATACAGCAATTAGTAAAATATTACCCGTAAATGATTATAATATATGTTTTAATTAACGTTATTTTGAATTTATTCGTCTTTAAATTTCCTCCACTTGATTTATCTTTATTATTTTTACTCTATTTTTCTTTTTCTTTTAATCATAAGGCCTCATACTGATTAATGGTAAATTTATATTAAATTGATATTATTATACCGAATATTTTCATGAATTTTTATCATTAATTAATTATTAGATGACGCTAAATAGAAGTTTAACCGTATTTAGTTTCGTTATTATAATTTTATATAATATTATTTATAATTATTTATCAATTATTCTATTCAGAATTACATTAAATAAACATTAAATAATGATAAGTTACTGTATTATATTTTAATAAAATATTAAATATTTTACAAGTTAACCGCTTAATTTTCAATATAATTATGTTTAAAATGATCAAAATTAATATTTTATAATTAATTTTTTGCGTGGATGTAGTCCTATATTTGAATTTTTAAACCGTTTTTCTTTTACTTTCCCGGCTGTTATATAGCCTATAACAGAGGGAAAAATATGGCGATTTGGGGAAATTTTGAGGGAAAAAATGACCCTCCTAAAAAAATTAAAAATTTCTGGATTTAGAACACATTAAAACGTTGAAAAATGCAAAAATATTTGAGGTTTTTTTCCTGTATGTATGTATATTAGTATTTTTAAGGAGCACGATTTTATTCATCCATTTTGAAGCTCTATAACTCTTCTGCCTTTTGTCGAAAATTACTGGAACTTTGCAGAGATGTATATACATTAGTGGCATTCATGCTATTAAATTTTGGAGGTCAAAGGTCGTGTGGGTGGGGAGTTAGAAGGGGTCATATGTCACATCTCAAATGGGGTCGGACGTGAAAATTCTACTCCTTAAAACTGATCTCTATCCTCACAATTAGACTTTTGTCATTTCATAATAATTTATAACATAAAAGGTTTTTTAATACAGTCACAATTTAAACTCTTGCCGGGAAAGTTATGCAACTCGTTGCTGGATTTTTTTTTTACACAAGCGACTTAATTTAAATATTCACCAGTCTTTCCTACCAGTAAATGATAGATTTTTATACATTTTTTAAAAAAATATAATAACATATTAAATATGTTTCAAACTTAATACATGATTCTGACAATGATAAATGATTATTTTTTTGACAGAAAATCATTTCTACACGATTGATTAAATGCATTTTATATAAACGCATCCATCTGAAGAATCTTTATAATTTTTTAATGCTATTATTACTATTATTATTGTTATTATTAAATTTACAATTATCCTTTGATTTTTTTTTAATGCAGCATAAATATTATTTTCGAAAGAAAATTTTCTAAAGGACATCTTTAGAAAAACATAAGTAGAAACACTTGTAAAATAGAAATTTTCTAGTCGAAGCAGTCATGCGAATAATTTAAATCAATAGTGCTGGTAATAGAATATTCCTAGTGACATGTGAGAAATATGAAGAAAAATAAAGTGTTTGTATTTGCTTTTTTTTATGACACGAGAGCCTCTTGGGTTATGTCGAGCCAAAGAAAATGACAGAAACTGCGAAGGAAGAGATATAGAGATGCTACAAACTTATGTCTAATGGAATGAAACCGAAGATTTATAGTAATATAATAGATCAGAAAGTATGATGTAATAAATCTAAGTTAGTAACGAAATAAAATTATTACACTATAGTAAATTACAATCAAGCTATAAGATATAATAATTTTTAAATCTTATTTATAATCATGTAATTTGGAAAAAAAAGGAAGGAGGGGCATACACACACTCTTAAACAAATACTAAAATTACCTTCTCTTTCTGGCATCTATTTTTATATGTATATGTATTTACTGTACATAAGTTTATTAGATTTATCTACAATAAATTTATGTACAAATCTATTATTCTTGGTTATGTTACAGTAAAACCTGTCTAAAACGAATCCACTACAAAACAGTAAATGATATTGTGTGTAAATTGTTATTATAAGCCAGAAACCTGTCTAACAGGAAACAAATTACACGACATAGCCTGTGTAAAGCGAAATTCTTCTACGTAACGACATCATTAATGCAGTAACTTGCTGGTTAGGATCATGGTCGACTTCTCGGTGATGAGAGTTACAAATCATTTTTTTTCCCCCTTCTTTATTAAGCTTGCACTTTCTGGAAAGTATCCTTGACAATACAACATCGCTGCTACTCCTCAACCATCCAGAAGAGTTAGTTAATTAAAGCGTAACCTTCCATACATCGGTAACGGGTTTTAAACAGGTTTTACTATGTTATATTATTAAACATTTATATAAGAAATCAATCTTAATTATTATTTTATATTAATTATATTAAAGTAACAATCAATTACTTTGTAAAACTCTTAATTGGAGAGAGAGAGAGAAAAAAGAAAGAAAATACAAACCAATTGCTTTGCAGATTCACGTAACACATAGAGTAATTGTTTCCCCTTACAAATTAACGACACAGAAAATAGAAATACGATTTATCGACTTGTAAGAATTTGGTGTAAATTCATTACTGTTTCACGGAATGAATTAGAAATTTTATTGATTAAATAGTTTTCATTAATAGCCAGTATGATAGGAATTTTAAATGTGTATCTATAAGTAATATTTAACATAATGTAAGAAGATATGTGTTATAATAGAAGCGTAGCGTTAAGCCTGTTACATACCTGAACGTGTAGATGACAGAACTATCCGTATTTTTTCATCTAAACGTTCAGGTATACCGGACAGGCTCACCTGTTCAGGTACAGTACGTGTGTACTGTACCTGGCTTTAACGATGCCCCTTCTATATGACTTATAGAGGGTTCTTTCTCAAAATTTGATGGGTAGATTTTGATTAAATTTTATTATTTGACGTAATACGAAACGAGGAAATTATAAATGTAATAAAAATCTAGAGTTTTCGATACGGTGGGGTCAAAGTTCACAATGTCTAAGGTTGCTAGCACGAGCGCACTCAATTATATTTGAGTCAATTTTTGTGTATTATGATGTATAAAATGACTTAATAATACATAATTTGTGTTATTAGTTGTAAGATTTAGCGAGAAAATATAATTTTTTATATTCAAATCTATAGAAAATTCATTTATTTCTTTAAATATTTACACTTATAAAAGCATTTTTAAACACTTTTCTATAACTAAATTATGTTAAATTAATTTAAAATTTACTATATAATTTAATAATTTTACAAGATTTAAGCCGCAAATTTCATATATTTTATGATAAATAAGTTTTTATTTCGGAATAATTAAATTAAGATGCTTTATAACGGTAAAAATTTTAATAACTTATTTCCTTAATATTATATTAAATCCGATGATTTATACACGATCGTTAATTAATATCAGTATTTTATACATATTATTTATAAATATCTGTAGGTAACATCCGTTAACTGTCAATGGATAAAATATTTCTTAAGGCATTTAAAAATTTTTATTATATAATAATTATACACATTAAAAGATAAACTTTAATGTTATTATTTTAACTACTGGAGTACATTAAAGCATCCGTTGGATTTTATAAACGACTTTTTTATGGCATTTAAAAATTTCTAAATTATTTAATGTTTAATAATCATGATTCAGAATATAAAAATTACACATTAAATTTTCATCAAAATCTTTACGTCGTATCAATATAAAAGTGACATTTTTTTTTATCAGTGAATTTAATTTAGTTACACGTTTGATCATTGGAATTGATAGGATTTTTTTTCCTCCTTCTTTTAGGGATGGAATATTGGCGATAAATTTAAATAAAAGAATTAAATTATCGTAGAGATTAACGAACTTTCTGTTGAAAAATTTTTTAGTCAAGAAGACATAACATTGAAATGTGCTAGGAAAGATTTACAAGAAAACTAAATGCATAACTAAAATAAGAATACCCCAACAGTGGCATGGAGCCAGAATTAAAAATAGTAAATGTGTATTAATATGACCAATGATTCGTTTTAAACGATCAGCACACGTTAGTTTTATCTTAAAACATGCAGCGCTTACAATATTCTTTAAAACATTTTCAATGATTTAGCTTGATTTTCATCACATTAAACTTCTTTAAATGCTAGTTTAATCATATAATTTTCTATTTTACTTGAGATTTAATTCGAATTTAAGCTATAAAATGGAAAAAATTATGGTAGTTTTATATCTGTAAAGAGTTGAACAGTTGCTATCAATCTCCTAATTGTGTTGTCGTTTTCTTTACTTTCTCCTGGATAACATTGAAAAACGCTTAATACTCGATGGAAGAGAGTTTTATCAATAGAAATTTACTCTTAAAATAATTATATAAATGGAATGTGATATAGTAAATCCA